TCTCTCTCTCTCTGCCCCTCCCCACTCGCACTCTGTCTCTCTCTCTCTCAAAAATAAATAAACATAAAAATTTTTTTAAACATTTATTTATTTTTGAGGGTGGGGAGGGCCAGAGAGAGGGGGACAGAGGATCTGAGGTGGGCTCTGTGCTGACAGCAGACAGCCTGATGCAGGGTTCAAACTCAAGAACCGTGAGATCATTTTTGACCTGAGCCGAAGTTGGATGCTTAACTGACTGAGCCACCCAAGCACCCCCATTGCTAATTTTTTAAGCGTGATAATGATACTGTGGGTTTTTTTAACTTCTTAATCTTTGAGCTACATAACTAAAAATTTTACAGATAAAATGATACATCTGTGATTTGCTTTAAGGTAATCCAAAGGGAGGAAGATTGACCCAGCAACCAGGAACTTTAGCCTCATGGCACAGATAAGAAGGGCCTTTTTCTAGAGTTTAGCTTTTGTCAGATGGCATCACTTCATTTCTGTTTGTTTTCTTGCAGAACTCTCAGAAATTGAGCCCAATGTGTTCCTCCGTCCATTTCTGGAAGTGATTCGCTCTGAAGATACCACTGGCCCTATCACTGGACTGGCGCTAACCTCTGTCAACAAGTTCCTGTCCTATGCACTCATAGGTAAGAACTCAGGCTTTGTTGGATGACCACAGCACTTCATTTCCTGCCTCGCCTGGGGTGGTCAGGCCTTAGGCAATGATCTGGTGATACTGGAAAGTTTGTCCCAGCCATCTGTTTCCTTGTAAGGAGAGAAATAGGACTGTTATTGGTTACTCATTATGCTAATTGACTCAGGTCGTGCAGTGTGGGGAGGGAGGGAACGTTTCCTTGGGACTCTGGTTTCTTTGTGCTTTGGAGGGAGTTAAGGGTATGGTGCCCTTGGAGGTTTGGTTTGGTTTATTTTTAAAATTATTTTTCAAATACAGTGCATGCTTATTTTAAGATAAACAATAAAAAGGTGACTAAAAGAATTAATGGTTTCTCCTTTTTCGTAATGTTCCTCCTTCTTCCTTAGGTAAATAATGTTGACAGACTGATTTGAATCTTTCTATACCTTTCTCTACATGTATACAACTATATATAAAGTATCATTTAAAAAAATAGGATTATGTGCTATGCATTTTCTCCTTTTTTTACTTAATAGTATTAACTTAGAAAGATGTACATGATATAATTATCCATCTGATTTGTTCTTTTCCCCCCAGTTTTATTGAAATATAATTGACATACAACATTGTGTTAATTTAAGGTGTACAACATAATGATTCAATATATGTTACAGATGATTACCACAATAAATCTAGTTAACATCCATCACCTCATATAGTTTCAACTTATTTTCTTGTAATGAGGACTTTTAAGGTCTGCTCTCTTAGCAACTTTCAAATATACGATGTAGGTTTTTTTAAGTTTATTTAAACTTAGGGCTCAAGCTCACAACCCTAAGATCAAGAGTCTCATGCTCTCTTCTGACTGAGCCATCCAGGCACTCCTCAAATACACAATGTAGTATTATTAACTGTAGTCATCATGTTGTACACTACATCCCCAGAACTTATAAATCTTATAACTGGAAGTTTATATATTCTTCTTTTAGTGTCATAAGATATATATAATGTAAAAATTGCCATTTTTATCATTTTTAAGTATACGATTCATTGGCATTAATTACATTCACAGTGTTGTACAATCATCACCACTATCTGTTTCCCAAACTTTTTTACCCCAAAAGAAACTCTAAACGTTAAGGAACAATACAGCATTTCCCTTCCCCCCAAGCCCTTGGTAAGATTTTTTTCTTCGTAGTAAAAGTGTATAATTTCTATAATATAGATATAATACCAATATTTTTCTTACTGAATAATATTTAATATTTAGGTTTCCTAATTTGAGGCACTTACAAATAATGCTGAAATAAGCATCCTTATTCATATGTCCTTACTTATTAATTTTCCTTTGTATGATAGATTCCTGTGCTTGAAATTTTTGGATTAAAGGCCATGAGCATATTACATTTTTTTAATTTTAATTTCTTTTTAATGTTTATTTATTTTCGAGAGAGACAGAGACAGAATGTGAGTGGGTTAGGAGCAGAGAGAGAGGGAGACACAGAAGCAGAAGCAGGCTCCAGACTCTGAGCTGTCAACACAGAGCCCGACGTGGGGCTCGAACTCACAGATTGTGAGATCATGACCTGAGCCAAAGTCGGACGCTCAATCGATTGAGCCACCCGGGCACCCCGCAAATTACATTTTTATATGTGCTACCAGGTTGCTTTCCCAAAAGCTTATAGTATTTATACTTCCAACAGTAATGTTTGAGAGTTTCCATTTCCCCACCCTTACACCTGCACTGAATATTAGCACTATTCATCTGTGCTAATTTGGTGAGTGAAAACTAGTATTTTATTGTTTTTATTTTTTTAAGTTAAACATTTGAATCTCTTCTCCTTTTTCTATTATTTTACTGAGTTGTTTTTGTTTGTCTTTTTAATTTATAGGAGCTTGTATAGTGGGGATATCACCCCATTGTCTATCATAGTATTACAAATATTTTCTCCCAATCTAGCCCAAATATTTTATCCAGACTGTTGTTTATCTCTGAATTTGCTTATGGTGTCTTTTGGATTCCTTTTTAGTTGGTCTTGTCACTCAGGATCCTGAATTCCTTTTCCCCTGTTGCTAGCCCATGCGCAGGGGTGAGGAACATAGAAAACAGACAGCTGTCTTTGTTTCTAAGGAAGGAGACAAGAAAAGACTAGCTCTGGCTGTAGCTAGCTAGGGAAAAAAAAAAAAGACCTTTGATTCAGGGCAAGAAAGCGCTTTATCTTTTCTAGAAAGTGGGATTTGCTTAGCAGATGCATTCAGGATCCTGAGCAGAAATCCTGGGTGCCAGCTAGGTTCTGAAGAGGCGCATCCATCTCTCCAGATACCCTAGTCTTAGCTTCATACTTTTCCTGAGCAAAAACCAGGCCCGGCTACTTCCAGCCTCACCCTGAGCACCACCTGCAGGTCATCTCTCTCCACAGCCTCCAGCGGCTGCCCTCCGTGCTTCTTCCTTCTGCTCTCTTGTCAGTGTTACTGTCTCCCCTTCCTGGACTTGGCAGACACGCTTGTCATTGGAGACCTCAGGCCAGCTGGTCACTGGAGTTTCCTGTGGTGGGAAAAGAGAATGCTGGAGGTGGTGATTGCAGTGGGCATGAGAGAGGGGGCAGGAAGGAGTGTATGAAAGCCAGAAGGCAAAGGAGATGAGATTGGCAGCTTTCCCTTCAGTCTGCTCCAGAGTGGCTAGGAAAGGAGGACATTCTAAGGAAGACGCGTTCCGCTAAGTGAGCTCAAGCCAAACAATATTTTGTTTAGGCTATCCTAGAAAAAACTATCCCTCACCTGTCAATCCTGTGACCCAAGGCTTCTAGAATTATTTTAGATCCTACTCCAAGGATCAGCCTTTTGTTTGGCCCCACACAGCTGCCAGACCAGGATTTGTGCCACTGATTGCCTGGCAGGCTATGTCTGTGGTTCTAAAGACCTATCACTCTCACCTGCCTTTTTTAGAAAATTAACTGTGCTATTTCATTCAAGCTCAGGGGATAAGAGCAACAAAGAGATCAGTTAAACTACTTTAACAAGGGAGATTACTGAAAGAGGGGAAGAAATAGACCTGTAGGAGCCTTGTGAAGCAGGAGTAAAGCTGCCATTCACATAGCTCTGAAACCCCACATAATACTGAGGACCTGGATTTCCTGTGCAAGGAAAAGTCTAGCTACGGACCATGGAGGCCTGAATAGTCAGGCAAGGGCTATGAGAGAAGACTCAGGCGAGGGCCTTCAGGTTATAGGATTTTCTGAGTTGAATGGGAGAAACATGGAGAGTTGGGGTGATAGAAGGAGCTAGGGCACCCCGTATACTATGTATCATCATGAAATTGGCTTCCTCCTTTTTTTAAAAAAATTTTTTTCAATGTTTTTATTTACTTTTGAGAGAGAAAAAGCTAACAGGGGAGGGGCAGAGAGAGAGAGGGAGAGAATCCTAAGCAGGCCCCACACTATCAGCACAGAGCCCGATGCGGGGCCCAAACCCACGAACCTTGAGATCACGACCTGAGCTGAAATTGAGTTGGACGCTCAACCAACTGAGCCACCCAGGTGCCCCGAAATTGGCTTTCTTCTGCATGAACTCTAAGTAACCACTCCTGGTGCTCAGTGGGGGCGTGCTGTATGGACAGAGTGTCTTTGACCAGGTGTCAGAGACTAACCAGGACAGAAGAGAAAAAAGAAAACAAATGAGAATCACTTATAATTCATGAAAGTCTTCAGGCTCGTTGTTACAAGGGAAATGTTTTGGTTTCTCAGCCGCACCCCTGAGCTTTAGGCTCAGGAACTCTGTTATTCAGGTACCAAGAAAGAAAAAATGGTAAGAATTTCTTTTAATTCCCACTACTTAAAACTAGGAGGTGCTCCTGTAGTACACCGTGCCACCTCTGGAGCAGCCTTTCTCTGTCACTCACAAAGCCTTGCCATGTCCCTCCTTTTTTCCCCTACTTATGTTTACCTTTCAAGGATAATCTGGGAAGTTCTGCAAGACCCTTGAAGGGCTTGAGGGAGGCCACTTCTTTGGCTACTCCTTTTGGATATTTAGCAGATTAATGGGAGCAGTTTCTCCCTTGGCAGTATTTGTGTTAGTTTCCAGCATGGTGCTGGTTGTCTGATCTAGCTTCTCCCCTCTTCTTATTCACTGTTGAAATTCTCTCTTCCTCCTACTCCCGGGTCAGCCAGCCTCCAGTCTTGTTTAGTTTGTCCCCTTTTTCTCCTAATGCATGTTTAGTTAAGCTGGTAGAATGATTCTTGCTCCATGTCATATTGTTTTAAGTAAGAATGCAAAGCAGGAAGAAGTCTCTGATTTGCTATAAAGTGGCACCCAGATATATGTATTGGCAGCAGGGACTGTCCATTTCTTTCCACTACTCTCCTACCTCACTTGCACCTGAACACAAAACCCCAGAAGCAACCAGAGAGAGATGTGTTGAAGGAGAAAACATGAACCGAGAAAGACTACAACCTTGGTGTTTGAAGGTCTCGTCCTACTTGGCCCTTGCTCTGGGCCAAAAACTCCTCTATTTCTAGGCCCTTCTTATATAAAATGAGTGGCTTTACACCAGTGAGTCCAAAGTGTGGTCCCCCTGACCAGCAGCATTAACTTGTCCTGAGATCTTGTTAGAAATGCACATTGTCAGGCCCCACTGTAAATCTACTAAATCAAAAGTTCTCAGAGTGGACCCAGCAATTTGTATTTTTAACAAATCTTGTTAGTGATTCTGATATATACTTAGGTTTGAGAACCACTGTTTTACACAGTGGGATTTGTGCTGAGGAGCTTGTTAAAGCCAGTTATGAGCAAAATTCTCCGGTAGTTCAAGTAACCATGGGTTGGGAAATTGAAGAGGAGAAAAACAGTCTCTCAAGGCAGTGCCTATACAGGATATCTTGCCTTTCTGTCTCTCTTCTCCATACAATTTAGTCTCTTTTTCTGTTGGAGCAGATCCCACTCATGAGGGCACAGCAGAGGGCATGGAGAACATGGCAGATGCTGTCACCCATGCCCGTTTTGTGGGCACAGATCCTGCCAGCGATGAGGTTGTCCTGATGAAAATCCTTCAGGTAAATGGAGGGGAAGAGCAATTAGGCTAATGGCCAGGAGCTGGTGCTATCGGCTCTCCTTACCCAAGACTGCCGGCAGCATGAGGCTGTGTTTTGACTCCGCTGGGGCTTAGGGAGCTACTTTGTTTCTAAATAAGCAGCTCGGGTACCCAGAGTAAAAGCTTTTCTAATGAAAATAATTAACAGCTTTAGATGAATTGATATCAAATACCACAAGCCCTTAATACATTTGTACCTCTGGTGGACCATATCTGCCGTTCATCTGTGGGACTCATGGGCTAGGGCTGGAATGAGTGCTGAACTATATCTGGGTCATGGAGAGTAAAGGCACAGTTCCCAAGATAAGTTCCTGGGAGATCCCCCCACACCCATCAAACTGAAGTGAGGTCAGCATTCTTGCTAACCTCTCTTTCTCACCCGAGTGCTTCCGTAGGAGACTAAAGGAACAGAAGGCAGCTTCTCTCCCCTCAGGTACACCCCACTTTACCTAGCCTGCTTTATTTATCGCTGTATCTCCTCTTTCTTCCTGGTAGGTGCTGCGGACTCTGTTGCTGACCCCAGTGGGTTCCCACCTAACCAATGAATCTGTGTGTGAGATTATGCAGTCTTGCTTCCGGATCTGCTTTGAAATGAGGCTCAGTGGTAGGTGCTTGAATATTGGGCCTGTCACCATTCCTAGGGCCAGTGTCTGTGAGTATAAATATAGGATACTGTCTCTGAGCCCCAGAGAGGTGGAAAACTCTGGACTTGTCCTTCACCTACCTTGTGGAGCCAAAGGGGTCTAGAAGTCTTTACTTGACTATTGTGCAGCTAGAATAGAGACCTTAGTTCATTGTGCCAAGGCAGAAATTGGGATAGATCCCCAAATGACTTAGCCCAGGCACCAAATCTGCCTCCCTTGGGCTTTCGGGGATTGACACCAGCCTGCAACCCTTAAAAACGCATCATCGTGCACCAACACCCGGCCCGCCCTCAGCTTTTTCTCCTGTCTCAGTAGTGCCACCTAGTGGGCTACTGAAGTTGTGGCTGCCAGGCTGAGCTGGAGCTGGTTTTAATAAGTTTGGCATAATCCTTAGTAAACAAGGTTTGGAGGGGAGTCTGCTCTGAGAAGCCTCCTGATAATAGCACAGCAAGTAATGACACCTGTGTTATTTGTTTTTGCCTGTGCAGAGTTATTGAGAAAATCCGCAGAGCACACTCTCGTAGACATGGTGCAGCTGCTCTTCACAAGGTAAACCTGCTGCTGTTTGCTTCAGCCCGGCTGCCTGGGCCTCTTGAGCTTGCCTGCTTCCACACAGCCACTTCAGGGACCTGGCCAACCCCACAGCCACTTCAGGGGCCACTGGGATTATGGATGGGGGTAGTTCACTGGGCCCAGGGTTACTGAATAAGGGAAAAGGAGAAGGGAGCTGGCTTGGCCTCAGAGAGAGGCAGGGGGTTATTTGATCTAGGCCAACAGACCTTGTTCTGCTTTCCAAACTTGTGTCTGTTTCTGTGCAGGTAGCAGCTGGGAAAGGGAACGCAGAGAGGAAGCCAAATTCAAGGGAGCCTGGAACAGGGTGCTGAACTCCCAGAGCTCAGTCTGATTTCTGTGAGAAAGGACCAAGGCTAGGGTGACAAACCTTGTTGGCCCAGACTCTCCCAATTTTAGCACTGAAAATCCTGCATCCCTGCAAACACTTCATTCTCTGGCAAACCAAGACTGCTGGTTACCCTCATCAAGGCCCTCAATTTAGGGGCTATGAGGCCTTTTCATATTATGCCTAACTGCCTGTTTCCTACACCTCTTTTCAGTAGACTAACTTTGAGAAGAGCTGACTGAGGCAAGAGCTTTAAAGCCTCCCCTGGGAGATATTAATAACGGGGTTGATTATGTATCTGTGCGGCCCAGGGTTATATAGGAAATCAGTGTACCTTCTGCTCAATTTTGCTATGGACCTAAAATTTCTCTAAAAAACAATCTAGTTAAAAAAAAACAAAAAAATTCCCCATGGTATTTCATTTTGCTCTCAGATCCATAAGTAATAATTCTTATTATCCACACATTAGATCTGCCCCTGCTCCCGGCTACAAAGCATTCCCACTCTTCAGGCTCAGATTTATTGGTTTCAAAACTCAACCTGCCTTTTACTGCTCACACTATGTCCAGTCTCCTGGGATTTTGATGGACTGCCCTCTCCCCATATTGTGCCTTTCACCTGTACTTGTTAAGTAAATACAAGCAGGGAGGGGTCAGTTTAGGATGAAAAGAGCCTCCACACTCCAAGGGCATTAGTCACTTTGCCCTGGTGACTCCCTTCTTTTTAAGAATGTGTCTGTATTATAAGTCTCCCCCAACTTCTTACTTTGATAAGGTTCTCAAAAGGATGAAATTAGCCTGCTTCTCTTCCTAGCTTTTCCTAAGAGACAGGGCATGCCCTGGCCCACTGCATCTTTGGGCTGCATCTTGGGCTAGCATGCTGGGGAGATTTGTTGTTATCCCTAATGACAGTTCATGGGGTTCTCTATCTTGTAGGTTACCTCAGTTTAAAGAAGAACCCAAGAACTATATGGGGACCAACATGAAGAAGGTATGAGCTGCTGTCCCTCATCCAAACTTTGGTCTCTCAACTTTAGTGCTATGGGGATTTTCCTGGACACCCTTGCTTGGCAAAAACATGCTTTTGCCTAGACAGGTCTGCTTGGAATCTAAAAATAGCTATCATTCATTTAGTGAGAAATTTATTCTTTCCCAGATACCTTTCCTTCCCCAACCTTTTCTTCCCAGCCTATCTTTGTTGACCCACCACATAAGCTGGTGAACTCGGTAAGGCCCATCAGATTGGGCTAAAAATGTATGTTGATAAAAGTGAACGTTCTGCCATCCCCTCAAAGCCCAGACTTGTCAGTAGGTAGGAGGCCTAAAGAGGCTATGCCCTAAGTCCCACCATAATGCTGGATTAGAATGGGCTCATACTTGGGCTTGTCTCTGTTGATGAGACAAATCAAGCCTGACTCTAGATCAGAAGGTTCTCAAACTGATAAAAGAATGTGATCAGAAGAATGGCCTCTTTCTATTTTAAACTGAAGTCCTGAACTTCACAGACCTCTGATGAGGATTCTACTTGCAACCCTAAGAGGTTCTTCCTGTGGAGATGGCCCTTGGCTGTTTGGTGCATGCACCTGACCTTCCCTTCTCCCCATCCCTATTCCTGCCCTATGCCCTATTGGCGTGTGTCTGAATTTATTTCACTTTGTTTAAATCGTTCGTTTGCCTGTCTTTCACAGATTTCTCCATGTCTCCTCAACAAACTGGAGCTAAATAGTGGGGAGCAGACCAAAGCCCTGAACCAGTTAGAGAGGGTACTACTCTTTAAGAACCTCAAGGTCTCTCTCCCTCTCCCTCTCCTTTCCCCCCTTTTTATTTATTTAAATGTTTATTTTTTTAATATGTAACATCTGGGTCACATTTCCATTGTGCAGAGCACAACTTACCCCTACCTAATAACACAGCACGGTTTTGGAAGAGTTGCATGTGTTTGTGGCTTTGCAGTGTTGGGAATTTCCCTGGGGGCATCTGGTTGCATGGAGGCAGAAGGAAGCTTTGAACTGGTGACATATCATGTAGTGAGCCTGGATAGAGAGCTTGGGTCCTGCTGACATCTTGCGGGGATGTTTAATATCTACCAATTTGGGTGAACTGTGAGGGACCTCTGAGCAAGCCCCTTCCCTCTTCTACCCTTTGCCTGTCTCAGAGCTGGCATATGGAGCTTAAGCACAGTCTTTGGCTCTATTTAGATACCTGAACTGCGTTTGGAGGGAAAGGATAGTCCCATCTAGTTGGGGTCTTTTATTTTTCATAGTTAATGTTAAAGCGTTCGTTCATTCCCAGGTTTAGGACTCTAGGTGGAGGGGAAGGAGCTGGATAGCTCAAGATGGGTTCTGCAGAGATGCTGTCTGTCCCTTAAAAGTTGAGATGTAGAGGAGTTTAGGGGAGAGGTCCAAGTTAAAGATTACCCCTAACCCCATATCCCTGCTTTAGGAAGAAGAGGGAGAGAAGGAGGTATGGGCTGTCTATGTTTAGGCTGTCACATGAGTGGCATTCTGGAGGTGTGATTGTGGAAATCCAGGTCACTGAAGATTAAAAGAACTGTGTATGTGTGTGTACACCTAGGTCCCTAGGCCTGCATTCTTTTTGCATGCACAGTGTCCATTTTCATTTATGTGCTTGACTCATCTCAAGTTGCAGCTCTCTCTTCAGTGGCTACCCTGCCTTTTGCCATGATTATTAACCTAAGACCTGCCCTTTCTTTGTAAAGCTTATACTGCCCTTTGGAAATACAAAGTTATACGGATTAGGTGTTGGAGGGTTCCATGAACAGGGAGCATAACTGTACTTTGTCAGGGCTGAGGCATTTGTGAGAATTGGAGCTTCTCATCCCCTACTCCAGCCAGGAGGCAGAGAATACTAATTGAAATGATCAGGTTGGAGCTAGTTTTGCAGAGATTAAAGAAGGAAACAGGCAGGACTAATCCTAGTGTCAGAAGGAATCTCATTGAGTGACTGGTTTCTCGGTGGAAGTAGGACCACCTGGAGTCACTGAAATTGGGAATCCGCCTAGAGAGAAAAGATATCTCACAAAAGTGGATACGGATGTTAGTACTTTTTGGACCTCAGTGACAATTGCCAATAAAGCCAGGAGGTTCTTGTTTTCCCTCATTGATCTCTTGAGCTTCTTGACTGTCTGTATGTTTGGCTGACTCTTACTCCCAGAGGTTTTTTTTTGTTTGTTTTTTGGGGTTTTTTTTTTGTTTTTTTACCACGAACTTGCTTCAGATGAGCTTCAGTGGTTACTAGAGAGAGCATTCTAGTTCCTGTTTAACCACAGTGCTCAGAACACTTGAAGTTCCATTCTAGGCATATGACTGTAGGCATTCTGGCGATGGTGGCATAGTATAAATCCAGTGTGAGGTTGTTGCCACATTAGTAAGAGCTGGGTGTGAGGCTCAACTTTTGGACCTCTCTCCTTTCTGGGTGGAGCTTTTGGTAAGGAAGAATTATATGGTTTCTAAACAAAGGATTAATGGCTACCCAGGTTCTGGAGGGCTTGGGGGAGGATGAAGAAGGAGGCCTATCCCCCAAATGCTAGAAGGAATTGAACAGGCCAAGGATGACAGGGTATATTCGGCCTTTAGAAAGAGGCTCTTACTTTGTTAGAGCATTCTGATGATTCCTCGACCATTACAGTTACCCAGTCCAGGAATGGTCCCTTAGTCTAGAAATAGTATGGTATAACTGTGGAGGGACTGGTAAAGGACTGGTCTCAAACCCTAACAGAAGGCATCAGGACCAGAAAAATGAAATGGGCTTAAATAAAGTAACTGTGAACTGAGGGTGGAGAAAATGCATAAAAATGTATATCCTAGAGTAGTTCCCACAATAGATTTTAGAAATTTTCCTTTGTAACTAAAAGGAAGCTATACGAAATATAGCAGGAGAGAAGAAAACAGAATAGAGCAAGGTACAAGAAATCAGTAGCCTTACCATCTGAAAACATAAAACTGCATCTAGAAAGACCCAACAGTGAGACAGGAGGTCTCACTGATATACAAAATTGGGAGCAGCAGCATGACATGACCCTCCATCCTTAACTCCAAAAATCAGCTGGGATACCACTCCTTCCTTAACTCCTTCCTTGACCCCTTCCTTGACCACTTTGATACAAAAATTTCAGAGAGTCAGGGATGTATTTAGGATCTACGCCCCGTTCACGAACCAGTAGGGAAGCTAAGAGAGTGACAGGGAAGGAATAGACTCTCATAGTTGGTTAAGAACCTAGGAGTAGAAGGCTGTGCTACAGATAGTTGAGGAGCAAAGCCCTGGAGTCCTTGTAGATCTGAAGCCTCAGGCAAAGGAACCTCTGCCCTTAGCTTTTCTGCAGGAGGGTCAGGCACCATCTACAGGACTTAAGATTGCCACCCACGACTCAGGGAAGCAGAGTAATATGTGATCACCTGAAAAGCAGAAGGTTTAGGAGGTCACCAGGCTGACCTGTGAAATGGCAGACTTAGAAACAAGGTTGGAGGAATAGGAATGTGCTCTGATGGTCTAGATTCTTTCTTTGCCACAGACACGGCATATAGGCTGTTTTCTAGGGACCAGTAGGAATAAAAGAAGGGAGATTTCTAGGGAAAGAGTCTTAGTTTGAGTACCAGTGCTAATGAGGTATGATATTTCCAGCTGAAAATGAGAGCAGGAGGCATGAGTGATTCATCCAAGTGGAAGAAACAGAAGAGATCCCCCCGGCCTCTGCGCCATATGACCAAAGTCACACCAGGTTCAGAGCTGCCCACCCCCAACGGAACTACCTTATCCTCTAACCTCACTGGTGAGTGCCCTGGGTTGCTTCCTCTAATTAGAATAGATAGAAGAAAACCTTCCTCTCTCAGGCATTTTAACATTGAAAACTAGTCAACTGAGGGGCTTTGGTCTTTCTGCTAAGAGTAAAAAGGGAAAACTCCAGGTCTGTTCAGACTGTGACCACTTAGCAATTCTGCAGTGACTTTGGGTTGTTATCCTTCCAGAGGAACTCTGACTACTTTAGTGACCAGTGTATGCAGAGATTAGTATGTGGTCTAGGAAAAGAGCCCCTAGTGCCATGGAGGCTATGTTTTTCCTACAGAGTCTCTTTTCTTCAAGCCTCACCTACTTTGCTTGGCAGGGGGAATGCCCTTCATTGATGTGCCCACTCCCATCTCTTCTGCAAGTTCAGAAGCTGCCTCAGCAGTGGTCAGCCCCTCTACAGACAGTGGCCTGGAGTTCTCCTCCCAGACCACCTCCAAGGAAGACCTCACTGACCTGGAACAACCTGGCTCTCCAGGGTATAACACAGCTACAGAGCCTGGCAGCAGCGAGCTGGGGATTCCTGAGCAGCCTGATCCCCAGGTATGGCTTTAAGGCCCCTCTCTAATCTTCTAGTGTAGAATTGGCTTGACCCTTTTCATCCTTTATCCAGGCTTTGGTTCAAAAGAAGGTCAGGTTGGGGGGGGGGGTTGCGGTGCAGAGTTATTTCATTATTTCTTATTTCCTAGAATCAGCTGTGCAAGCTAGAAAATCCACAGCATGACTCACTGTAAGAGGTAGCTCATGGGATTTATCAAGTCTTGCATACAGGTAGTACTAGGCAAAGGGGAGGGAAATGGCCATGGCTTTGGAAGATAATGATATAAATCCCAAGCCTATGAGAGCCTCTATTGTTTCTAGAGTTCTAGTCACTTTAGGTCAGTGATGCCTCAGGAAGTGTTTTCTGAGTCCTTCACACTCCTGCTCTGGGCCATCTTGCATTGATTCATAGCTCACTGAACTGGCCCTACACCTGCAGACACTTGGAGCTTAAACACTTCAGGGGGGAGTAAGTTCCAAGTTGCTCTTGCTTCATCCCTCTTCCTATCGCCCTGCTGTTGGTCATAGCAGGAAGGGATTCATGTGGAAAAGGCCCAGTCAGCATCCGTGGAATCCATCCCCGAAGTGTTAGAGGAGTGCACGTCCCCTGCTGACCACTCTGATTCTGCCTCTGTTCATGACATGGATTACGTCAATCCCCGGGGTGTACGCTTTACACAGTCCTCCCAGAAGGAAGGTGAGTTCTCTCAGGCAGTCTCTGCCTATTCACCTCCCCCATCCTGCCCACTAAGCATCCTGAGCCTAGATGATCTTGGACCCAAGGTGTCTGCTGTCCAGATTTTCTAGTCAGGAAATGGAATCAAGCCAGAGGGACTTTGGCATGGATGGAGCCCTTGCCAACCTATACAGAGAGGGTCTTTGATGAACAATAGGAAGTGAGAGGGAAGAATAGAAAGCTTGAGACTTAACAGAAAGTAGGGTCATCAATTCTGATTCCTTTTAGTAAGTGAGACTAGTCTTACCTTTCCAGAAAAAAAGCTTTTTTTAAAAAAATTTTCTTGAAGAGAATCACTTATTTGAAATTGCCTTGTATAATGCAGGGCAGTCCAGGCCAACTTTTCAGTCCAGTTGTTTCCTGACATTCCCACTTTACTTCTGGCTTTCCCCAGGTACAGCATTGGTCCCCTATGGTCTTCCCTGCATCCGTGAACTCTTCCGCTTCCTCATCTCCCTCACCAATCCACACGACCGCCATAATTCAGAGGTTATGATCCACATGGGATTGCATTTGCTGACAGTGGCTCTTGAGTCAGCCCCTGTAGCCCAGTGCCAAACCCTGTTGGGCCTCATCAAGGATGAGATGTGCCGCCACTTACTCCAGGTAAGACTGGATTTCTAGAGGGTCTCTGAGCCCTTGGCTATTTTCCACGGTCTCTCAGGGACCAGGGGGAGCACAAGGAGGTTTGGTTGATTGGTGAAAAGAGTATAGGATCCAGAAAAGAATCTCCCTTCCCAGTTGGCCAGTGGTCATCATCAAGAGGACTCTACTAGTTCTCTGGGGACTCTGGCAGCCAAAGAGAAATATAGGAATGGCTAGATATAGTTTCCTTAGAGTACAGGACCTTGGTGGCAACTTCACAGAGTTTATTATCCTACTTTTCTCTTGGTTGAGCCATAGGTTCAGAAACCTAATGATTTAACCCTACTCTGATCTCCAGCTACTCAGTGTAGAGCGACTAAACCTTTATGCTGCTTCCCTGCGGGTATGCTTCCTACTGTTTGAGAGCATGAGGGAGCACCTCAAGTTCCAATTGGAGGTGAGTTTCTTGAACTTGGATAAAGAAAAAATAGCAAGATATATAGCATCTTCAGTGGGGCCAGCTCTGTCCTGCTGCGGGGATGGGATTTAGGGACTCCTAAAATCCTAGAGAGCTATTAGCCTCTGTAGTTTGGTTCCTTGGCTGTCCTCTTTGGTGGAGAAATTAAAGGGAGCCCAGAGAAAACTGGTTGGCTATAAAATGAAAGAAGCCAAATATGAGGACTGGTGGACAACCTCACTATGAGTGGGTACAGGTTTTCTGCCCATTAGTTCCTCTGCAACACAGGCAGGCAAATCAAACTGGCTTTGCCACTAAGTTGCAAAAAGGAACTCTGAATAGTACCAGGTAAGGCTCCCATAGAAAGCACAAAGAGGGCAATAGGCAACTTGTTTTGGATCAGGCATAAGGTAGAGAGCCAGGCCTCCCCCAATGTGGAGGCCAAAGAGAAGGACGGAATGTCTTTAAGGATATGTTAACTCATGCCTCCTGGCTGAGCGTCTCCTTCTTGTATTTAATGTTTTTCCTATCTAATTTTTCTCTTCTGTCTTGAATCCTTATCCTACTCAAATGGCTATTACTGGGTTATTGCCAGATGTACATCAAAAAGCTTATGGAAATCATCACTGTGGAGAACCCCAAGATGCCTTACGAGATGAAGGAGATGGCATTGGAGGCCATTGTGCAGCTCTGGCACATCCCCAGCTTTGTCACTGAGCTCTATATCAACTATGATTGTGACTATTACTGTTCCAACCTCTTTGAAGACCTCACCAAGCTGCTGTCCAAGGTGCTGAGCATTATTACTGTCCTCTAGAAAGAAGGCTCTATTAAGGAAATCTCTGGTGGTAGTGAGCATATTATACACGGGGGGGGGAGGGGGG